CCAATAAAAATATTAGACCAATGGAACAATTTTACAGTCGTGTGAAAAGTATTTACGAACCTCTTTGCAGCTCTGTTTTTCTTTGTTAGCAGCCATTAACTGATAATCAGCAACTGTGAGCACCTCTACAAATGCAAAAGTTTTGACTGTTTCCTGGTTTGGAGGATCTTAACACAATCCTAAACTCTTCCCAGGAGTGTATGTCCCAGAACATTTATTTTAAGCTCAGACTAAACAATGCTCAAAACACTGCAAAACTCCCAAGAGCTACATGTTAGACTATACAGGCCTCACTGAGCATATTAATATTAAAGTTCTTGAAAATATAATTTGATAAAGACTCAACAAGAATGGCTTAAAGTGTTGCCAGGAGAAATTCTTTACATATAAAAAAAACATGGCAGCATAGCTTAGGTTTGTATCTTGAGTTGTATCTCAAGAAATCACAAGACTTCTGGAACAGTGTTTTTTGGACAGACAAGCCTAAAGTGGAGCTTTTTGGCCATAATGTATAGCACCACTTTGGTAAAAATAAAACACAGCTTATCAGCACAAACACATCACACCAACTGTCAAGCATGGTGATGGAGGGGTAATGATGTAGCCACAGGATCTGGGCATCTTGCAGTCAGTGACTCGACCAAACTTCTCTCTATAGAGCTCAGGAGGTAGAGCAGGTCATCTACTACTCAGAAGGTTGGTAATTCGATTACTGGCTGTTCCAGTCTGCACGCCAAATATCTTTGGGCAAGATACTAAACCCAATTTGCTCTCCAGTGATCTATCAGAGATTGAATATGTATGAATGTTAGATAGAAACGTTGTATGAATGTGTGAATGAGGCAAGTTATATAAAGTACTTTGAGTGCTCAGATAGAGTAGAAAAAAAGCTACAGTGGGGCAAAAAAGTATTTAGTCAGCCACCGATTGTGCAAGTTCCCCCACCTAAAATGGGTGGGGGAACACATAGGATGTGTCCCTATAATAAAACACTACAGCCTCCCCCACCATTCAACAGGCTGGGGCGGGGGTCAGAAACAAAGGAATGTCTTGGATCATACAGTTTGAACCAAGACTTACAAATTTAAGTACAATAATGGCAACATTTAATAATTTGACTCCAACAGACACAAGCCTGAAATGTTCTTTTCTTTAAAGCTGTAGGTACAGTGGGGCAAAAAAGTATTTAGTCAGCCACCGATTGTGCAAGTTCCCCCACTTAAAATGATGACAGAGGTCAGTAATTTGCACCAGAGGTACACTTCAACTGTGAGAGACAGAATGTGAAAAAAAATCCATGAATCCACATGGTAGGATTTGTAAAGAATTTATTCGTAAATCAGGGTGGAAAATAAGTATTTGGTCAATAACAAAAATACAACTCAATACTTTGTAACATAACCTTTGTTGGCAATAACAGAGGTCAAATGTTTACTATAGGTCTTTACAAGGTTTGCACACACAGTAGCTGGTATTTTGGCCCATTCCTCCATGCAGATCTTCTCGAGAGCAGTGATGTTTTGGGGCTGTCGCCGAGCAACACGGACTTTCAACTCCCGCCACAGATTTTCTATGGGTTTGAGGTCTGGAGACTGGCTAGGCCACTCCAGGACTTTCAAATGCTTCTTACGGAGCCACTCCTTTGTTGCCCGGGCGGTGTGTTTTGGATCATTGTCATGTTGGAAGACCCAGCCTCGTTTCATCTTCAAAGTTATCACTGATGGAAGGAGGTTTTGGCTCAAAATCTCACGATACATGGCCCCATTCATTCTGTCCTTAACACGTATCAGTCGTCCTGTCCCCTTGGCAGAAAAACAGCCCCATAGCATGATGTTTCCACCCCCATGCTTCACAGTAGGTATGGTGTTCTTGGGATGCAACTCAGTATTCTTCTTCCTCCAAACACGACGAGTTGAGTTTATACCAAAAAGTTCTACTTTGGTTTCATCTGACCACATGACATTCTCCCAATCCTCTGCTGTATCATCCATGTGCTCTCTGGCAAACTTCAGACGGGCCTGGACATGCACTGGCTTCAGCAGCGGAACACGTCTGGCACTGCGGGATTTGATTCCCTGCCGTTGTAGTGTGTTACTGATGGTGACCTTTGTTACTTTGGTCCCAGCTCTCTGCAGGTCATTCACCAGGTCCCCCCGTGTGGTTCTGGGATCGTTGCTCACCGTTCTCATGATCATTTTGACCCCACGGGATGAGATCTTGCGTGGAGCCCCAGATCGAGGGAGATTATCAGTGGCCTTGTATGTCTTCCATTTTCTGATGATTGCTCCCACAGTTGATTTTTTCACACCAAGCTGCTTGCCTATTGTAGATTCACTCTTCCCAGTCTGGTGCAGGTCTACAATACTTTTCCTGGTGTCCTTCGAAAGCTCTTTGGTCTTGGCCATGGCGGAGTTTGGAGTCTGACTGTTTGAGGCTGTGGACAGGTGTCTTTTATACAGATGATGAGTTCAAACAGGTGCCATTCATACAGGTAACGAGTGGGGGACAGAAAAGCTTCTTACAGACGACGTTACAGGTCTGTGAGAGCCAGAGATTTTCCTTGTTTGAGGTGACCAAATACTTATTTTCCACCCTAATTTACGAATAAATTCTTTACAAATCCTACCATGTGGATTCATGGATTTTTTTTTCACATTCTGTCTCTCACAGTTGAAGTGTACCTCTGGTGCAAATTACTGACCTCTGTCATCATTTTAAGTGGGGGAACTTGCACAATCGGTGGCTGACTAAATACTTTTTTGCCCCACTGTACCTACAGCTTTAAAGAAAAGAACATTTCAGGCTTGTGTCTGTTGGAGTCAAATTATTAAATGTTGCCATTATTGTACTTAAATTTGTAAGTCTTGGTTCAAACTGTATGATCCAAGACATTCCTTTGTTTCTGACCCCCGCCCCAGCCTGTTGAATGGTGGGGGAGGCTGTAGTGTTTTATTATAGGGACACATCCTATGTGAAGGTTCTGTTTTCTTGTTTAGTAAACTTCCTGCCTTTATGACCCTTTGGTGAGCAGGAGGTCACACAAATGCACCCCCAAACACAAGCACACACACTCACGGGCACCTACACACACACACACACACACACACATGCATACACACACATACAAGGGCCCGACACACCGCAATGGGTGGTGCCAGTGTAAACTGTAACTGTATTCAATAAAAAGGCTGCAAGGAAGGCTGTTTATTTGAAGTTGGCTAGGAAACAGGTGAGGAGCGTTCAGCTCCAAGAGCCTGGTGGACCAGCCTCCATTGCTAGCAAGTAAAATCGATCGATTGCTGTTCGTCTTGCTTCGTTAACGGGAATAAGTCTCTAAACCCGTGGGGCCTGTGGAATCACAGACCCAACAGTGTCAAATTCTCATAAATGAAATCAATACAGCTCAGTTAAACAGAGCTCAACTCTTTCCACAGGCAGTCCATGTAGTGTGTTGTACCTCTGTGCATGCAGTCCGGAGATATATAATATGCAATGCAACTGCCTAATGCGACATCAGTGCCACAGTAGTACCTGCAAACTCCTTTTCTAAAGTATTCAGAAGAAAAAACTAAATAAGCTGTTGCTACTATAAATACCTGAAAGGGGAATTCACAAACTTTCAATTTTGTATGCAGCAGTGAATCTATTTCCACTTATTTACAGCTTGCTACAAATAGCACAGTATACATTGAATCCCCACGCACCAACTTCCTCACAGGGATCAACTTACAACAGATGCCATTATCAAATCAAGCTATATTGGATTAGACAGAGGAGAGATCGTCTATAAATGATCTACAGGAAATACCGATCAGTCTTTTAAATAGTGTTGTCACAAAGCAATATATGACTTTTACTTAGTGTAGTTTGTGACATTTCTATTGAAAATAGTGACTGTTTTTTGGTAAAGGCTCCTTTCTAACTGATGGGCGAACAGACAACATTTTGTGTGTGGGTACTTTCTCGCTGTCAGCGGTGTGCTTGTGAGGCTGGTGTGACTGATTGTGGCTGTATCTCGCCAAGCTGTCCAGACGTCTTAGTAATGTGATGGGACTGGAAGAGGCAGGTGACACATTCAGGACAAGTTCCAGGTACACAACTCATGCTTGGTCAGGTATTTCATTACAATCCCTCATGCCCGCTGGACTACATAATGTGTTCTAATCACTGCAAAGTGTGCAGGTGTTTGCCTGAGTGTGAGAAGACTGAGACGTGGAACGAGGGGGAAAACACAGTTGCTATTCCCCACACAAGGCCCCTTCATCTCCTCAGTAAATGAAGTAAATGAAACCCAGCGGTGGAGTCAGATGACAAAATGAACATAATGTTGTTAGGCTGCTCCAGAGGAACAGAGGAGCGGAGTGAGTTTTTCTTGCTTACTGTAGCAGGCTGATCTAATAATCCGAGCGCTGGAACAACAGTGTTGCTCGGCTCAGCTGGGACTTGAAAGAGCAGCATTTAAAAAAGGAGCCGAAGAACAAAAGGAGAACAAATGTGAAGGGGATGAACAAAAGGAGGAGAGGAGTGTGACTCGCCCACCCTCGACTCTCTTCAGACAGAAGTAAAAAAAAAAAAAAACCCTACAAACACACACACACACGGGAGGAATAATCCCCGGGCAACTTGGACATATTTAATCTGCCTCTCATTTTCAACAGGGATTAATTTCTACCTTCTAATCTGCTTGGTGTCCCTGAATTAAATCTCATGTGTGCACTTTTCCCTGTGCGGCCCATCTGAGGAAATCTCCTGCCTGGCTGTCTGACAGCACAAGCCTAGCTAAAGCAACGTATGTGGCTTAAAAGGTATCAAACACTCGGGCTCGTTCCAGGTGGGTTAGTGAAAGACGTGTAGCAGTTGGTGTGACATATAATACACCATGTGGGCTTGCAAACATGACCAATTTTCCAACCAAACACTTCTACTACTACTCTGCTCAAGAACTTCATTTATTGGCAGGATGAATTGTTTTTGAGATCTCTAACATGAACTAGACTCACCCTGAAGTAATCGCTGCACGCTGCTAGGACGGCTTTGTGGGCGTGGAACTTCTGCTCACCGGCAACCAGAGTGACATCACACAGCAGGCCATCCTTCCTCTGCTGGTTGAGGGCAGAGAGGACCGAATCCTGGTGCGACTTTGACTGGCAGAGCCTCTGTCCTGTCAGCATCTCCCTACTGGTGTACAACACACAGACATACAAAACAGATGTTGGATTTTAGTGGATTTACTAGGTAAGACAAAGATTTTGTGCTAATGATAATAAGCAATAATAATTTATCCTTTACCACAGATGGATTAAAACAAATTAAGACTTTTCTGTGAGCAAACATTTACAATAAATCTAAACAATTCCATTCATTTTAACCACCTTGACAGCACAATAGTAACATATATCCATGTAAAACTCCTACCTTAACAAAAATCTCTATTTTTTTTTAAATATATGTAATGTGCACAGCAAATACATGAAAAATCATAACTTTTTACCCCATGTCCAGTGGTGAAAATCACACCAAACAACTGAAATGAAATGCTCTCACACACACTCCAAGAATTAAGCTAAGGAACTACAGCAAGCTAACGTTGCTTGCTGTATCATTATTATCCATACATAAAGTATCTCTTAACCCAGTTTCCTCTACCTTTTACCACACCACTGCAACTATATCAGTATCCATTGATTACTTTACTATTGGTGTTCAGACACGTATTGACAACTACTATAAATGTCAGACGCGCTAAAACTATTATTAGTCCACACAGGATTACTCTTATTGACGATACCCTATTTTTTCTCTTCCACCACCGTGAGGCTGATTTTTCTTGTTTTTTACTGAACTATATGGAACTGTTGGTTTTCTGCCATAAAACTCTCTAGAAGTGGCCACAAAACCCAGAGGATGAAGACATTTTTGAATAATTTGGCAGCATGGTGGTGCAGTTGGTTTAAATCTCCTGATTATCTGGGGCCTGCTTAGCTTGTTTGCCTGCTCATGTTTCCTTGGGTACTCCAGCTTACTTACACACTCCAAAGACATGCATGCTAGGTTAATTAGTGATTGTAAAAATGGCTGTAGGTGTGTCTTTAAGTGCTGCATGAATTAGTGTGTGAAAAAGCTAAATGTGGCTTATAGAGTAGAATGGTTCGAGCAGTCAGACCAGAAAAGTGCTATCTACATGCCAGTCCAGTCCATATTAATATGAATTTAATGTCCCTGTACCTAGAATTTAGTGTGGCTTTTTGAACATTAATGATTCCCAGGCGATAAATTGTAATTATTTATCCTTGGTTTTTTCTCTAGTGAGGCATTTGTTGCCTCCATGAGGTTATTATATCTGCTTTATAATTACATTATTTGTTATCTACAACATTCATTAGCCTTCTCAGAATTAAATGTAAAGACTTTGGTCATGCTTTAACTTTTCTGGTTAGTATCATTATTGGCACATAAGCTTGTCCCATATTTTTATTTATGATAAAACAGTGGCAAAGCATCCCTTTCTGTGAATAGAATATGCACAAATATAAGTGAATTTCCAAAACAGTTGGGATGCTGTGTAAAATGTGAACAAAAATGTGCAAATCTCATACTCATGTTTCATTCACAATAAAACATATGATCAGATATTTGAAGTCTTTGCAATTTTTCATCAAGGCACATTATTCTGAATTTGTTCCACAATATGTAGACACAGGTTTTTGCAGAATGGTGCACCTCATGTCACTGACCTGTTGCCAGATGACCCACTAAGCTGCTAAATGTTCCTCCAGTTGGTTTGTTTTTCTGTAACACTTAGTTTTCCAGCCTTTCGGGATGCCCGTCCCAACTTTTTGGAGACGTGTTGCTAAATTCAAAACGGACTAACATTTTCATGAAATAGTAAAATGTCCCAATGTAAACATTTGATGTGTTTTCTATATTCTATTGTGAATAAAATATGAGTTTATGAGATGATTTATCAAAGACTATGCACAAAAACACTGATCTCGTAAGAAAAAAGGGTGGTTTATCAGATCGCGCTACTAGTTCATTTCCATCTACAGTCCCTGAACAGGTACACCCAAAAGATTAACCAGGCTGCAAAATATTAAACATAAACATCCACAGGACTAGCAATAATTTGAATAATATAATCAAATAGCCTAAAACCCTTCAATCAGTCCCACCCACAAGATACAAACACATTCATAAGTGCATACACCCCATTATTCAGTTATCTTTAATTTCCATTGTTAAAATTGCATCAGAAATTTAGACAAGTGACTCAATCAATGGCTTGCCATGATTTACATTTTTGCCATTCCCCCACCCTTACAAAAACAGCGCTTCCTACCCATCAGCGTCTATCTCACAGTTTAGCTGACAGGATAAACGCGCTGACCACAGAACATGTCAAAATGAGTTTTCCCGACTGGCAGAAAGCTGAGGATCCATGTAACAGCAAATATACCCCATTTTCCAACTCATCCTCAGTCCCTCTCCGCTTATGCCCATTCATAAGCCAGTCTGTCCACCCAAATCCATCTATGTCCACTTCCAGTCCTGGCCATCACTTTAAATTATGCTGCCTGCCAAGAGGCTTACTCTGTCACCTTCATGGTGATGGGGTGTAAGACAGAGGAAATAATGGGCGTGTGTGTGGGCGGATGCGTTAATGCGCTCTGGGATTGAGGTAGGATAAAAGATGACTCAGGTTGTTTGTTTGGTAGGTTTGGTTTTTTTTTTTTGGGGGGGGGGGGGGGGGATTGCCATAATTTAAAGTAAAAGGTTTTTACATTCCAAGAAGAGAGTATAAGGATGAAATGAACATATTAGGACAAAACTGTTAGCCGAATGGTGAAAACTAAAGCAACACAAGAACAATAATGTGGCTAAACTGCCCTCAGAATGGGTCATATTGCAAAAGAATCTGTGTCCTACATTTCACAGTGTGTCATATTTTGTTTGTGTTACAAAAGTTGCAATTTACCAGCTCACAAAAAAATAAAGAAATAATGTTATCAGAGGTTATTTTTTCTCTAATTACCCAAGTATGATGTGTAAAACAGCTTTAAAATTTAAAGTACACCAATGTTTACTCTTAAAGTACCACCGCAAGGACTGCAACAGTCAGAAATGTTACGATGCCATATATGTTGGCTTTAAAAGGCTAAAAGTAGATTTCAGTTTGAAAATAGTTTATTGCAACATATTCTTATTTCTTGAAAAGGCCAAAATCAGCACTTGATTATTTCTCCCTGCCTCCGAGCTTCATTTAGTGTCCAAAAACTATTAAACATATAAATAAACCACAGAGTCGGAAGGCTAGGTAATGAAGCAATCAGTGTAGATGCTGGAGTTCTTTTTCCAAGTAAATCCCACGTGCAGCATCCTGCTGCTAAAAAAAGACTCCCTGATAACACAATAAAAAGATGTTTCCTTCTATTTGATTAAACTAAAAGAAAATACAACTGTGACCTGTTTTTGAAGGTTTAGTAAGTAGGTTTGGTACAACGGATTGGGCTCTTAGGTAGATAGGTGGATTGTCGCTCGTATAACCTTGTCTACATCCATATATTAAGTTAGATAAAAAAAGACACTGAATGGACAGTCCAGGAGAGAGAGAAAGATAGAGAAAGCTAGTAGAGCCTGCGCTCTCCAAGCACGGTTATTGAACAACAAATCGATCCTAAATAGATCTTTCTCAGCTTAAAATAAAGAAGTGAATAATGTCAGCATTGTTTGAAACTGTCAGTTGATTCTGTGTTTGGATTCTCATTAACATAGCAGTTTTCTAGTCTAGCTGACCACTCAAAGCACTGTTACACCAGTAGCCACATTCACCCATACATGCGTACACCAAACCACCATCCTTCCAATCAATGAACAGCCCGCTCTACCTCCTGATAAGCCACAGGAGGTGCATACACAGTAACGGTTCCTTAAGGGTTATTGTCTATTTTTGCCATGAGCTTTAGATGTGCGGACCTACCTGAGGCTCGGTTCAGAAGGCATACCCTCTTACAAAGGAAGTTAAGATGGAGGTGGAGGGGAGGTGCTATGTGGCTCCTGAGGACTGTAGTCTCCTCACTGGGCACATACATCAGCCTGATAGGACAGAACAGCATGTCAGCTTCACTCAGTCCATCTACTCAACAAAGCCACAATGTGACAGCCTCCTGTGCGACGTGTGAAGGGATGCTACCACACGTTACGCCTAATGCTGACTTCTCCCTTCTCTCCATTCTCTGTTGACTTTGACAATTGTTAGAGCTGTTCTTTGAAGGCCTTTTCTTGTAAAGCCCGGGGACTGCGACAGCCACAGGCAGCTAGGCTTCAGTGAAGTGAATCAACAAGGTCAGCACTTCTCTGAACAAGCTGGGAGTCCAAATTACACCAAGTCCTTCTGGTGTAGCTACAACCTTGACATAATGTGCTACACACCTGAATCTTGATATCCCACAGATAATGTCCAGCAGCACAGAGAGGTCACTCGGAAATCCAAGCTGCTCTGGATACTCTGATTGAAACCCCACTCGCTTAGTGTACAAATAATAAGCTGACCTGGGTCTTCTCATACACCTGTTTTACAGAAGCAAGCCTCTGTATGTTTGCAGTTTATTTGATAGAGCCGAGTGTACTGCTGGTTTAGGTGTCATCCTCAGTGAGGTTTACTTATCGATCCATTCACGACTGACCTTCAGATGTATAGCCACAGGTAAGTGTTACTTACATTACCCTTGAGTCCAGCTGAACACATGCTAAAAACGTGTGATCAAAAGCAAATAAAATTGGAAATCATAACTTCCTTGTCTCCCTAAATGTCTTCAGTGCTGTTAGAATACGAGGTTTTCATAACATATATCTAAAAATTATCTTACCAAGTGAAAAAATGAGCAGTGGGAGAGGTTAAACACGTCCGGAAGGCGGATAAATTTAGGATCTGATAATCGCAACAACTAGGCCATTGTTCCCTGCAAAACACTGTAATCTCCTGACCGAAAACGACCACAGTGCAAATGTTGTCTTTTACGCACAGAAGACAATTAGGATTTACGCACGAAAAGCGCGCGAGGGAGCTGAATTGAGGAGGAGGAGGAGGAGGGAAGGTTTGGGTTGCCAGATAAGCAGATACCCTTAGTGCATTAAGTGTCACTTTGAAGAAAAATAATAAGAAAAAAAGCTCCCAGCTGTCAAAAGGTCTCCTAGCAACAGGCCAGCGCCTCGGTCCACAAACTACGGGGACGGTGAAGAGAGCAACCTCTCCTGTGCGAGCAGAATATCCTGTTGCATCCTTCGCAGAGCACAAGCACACGATCTGTACCAAATCCTACCCAGAGCACCTCACGGCTTTGGAGGAATTTACAGTATTCACCCCTCCTCCTCCTCTCTCAATGTGCCACAAGCTTACGCACCTCATATGAATGTGTTATGAGTCAGTCCCGTCCCCCTCTGGCGGCGCCTCCGTTACAGATCATTTGATCATTTGATGTCCGAGGTTGGGCTCCTTTTTTTAAAATCAGCTGCGACACGAAGGGAGGGTGCAGCGGCGACCAGATGCGCAGGGTTATCAGCAACACTTTATTGGTTACACTGTAGGACCTAAATTGTTACATTATAACCCCGCCTCTCCACGGCAGGTCACATGAATATGGACACAGTCGGGAGAGAGCGCCTCCAGGTGGATAATTGAGGCATGGCAAATTGTTGGGGATGCCTCTGCGTGTGCTACATGCAGTATTGTAGACACTACTGGGACACCAGGGGTCCTCATAGGATTTCCACGGGGTGCCCGGCAAATTTGGCGATACTACGCTGCTCCACTGAAAGTAGCAAAAGAAGAAATATAACACTGTGTAGTTGCACGCATCTGTGAGATCATTGTTACCCTTATATTTTTGATATCAGTATTACAGGAAACGTCAGTGCAGTTTTATCTGTATACGACTGCATTTTGTCACTTGCAAAACATCATGACACATTTTTAAATGGTAAAATCACCCACTTCCATCTAGTGGTAATTGTGGAAAATACAGAAATTATAGAATTATATTCTATAAGTTATGATTGTTGTAAAAAAATAGAAAAGTTGGTGTTTGTTAATAAACCCTCTCAGCTGTATTTTGCATTGTTTCATCCTTTATCTGCCGTCTGCACGTACGCGGCGTTTAAGTGCTTCCTGTCTATACTGACATTGTTACTCTCGTTGGGGCATTCAACTGCTAGTTTAGTGACCTGTAAAGTTAGTATGTACAGTACGCCACTCTTTTAAAGATGAACTTGCCCTTTAATTTTTTTTAATATAAAAGGCTATTATACACATGAAGTCTCCCACCCACAAACTACCGTGAAACTTAGATTTTAACTTAAAAAAACAAACAAAAAAAAAAAACACTTCATATTTCCAATTGCACCTGAAAGCATCTTTAGTTCAGAGCAGGACGGGAATAGTTGGTGGGAAGGTGCGGGAGCTTATCTCAGGAAACACGCTACCAAATTCCTCACCGGGCAGATCCTGCAACTATTCATAAAGTCAGCTAACTCTTGGGTATTTGGGGGTAAGTTTTCGTGTTTCGCATTTTTACCCCCTCATGGGTTCTTTCTGCTTGGTTGTGGCGAAGTTGTTTCGGCCCCTTGTCCCATGGCAGCGACCGAGGCAGGGATGTTGACTGCACTGTCTCCCCACAGCTGGTGTGTCATTTACGGGGAAACAAACGGCTTTCCTGGCCGCCGTGGACTCGCGTATTGATTTAAAACGTAATTAGCTTTGACATATGCAAGTAATTGGACAGTAATATCAACTTATTATGTCTGTTTGTAGCCATGTCTGCATGGTATGTCGAAGTGTTGGTGGAACGTGTCAAATATTTACCCTGCTAACTATTCCTGGTATATCGCTAATATGCTAACCAAAGGGCTTATTAAGCGTAAATTACTTTTTAGCTACTTTAGCACTATGAACCTCCTTGACTACATGCTGTACTTTGAGGACTGCTGAATTTTGTTGTACGTGGAAAAAGGGATGCGGTAATATTAAGCGCTTATCATCAGTGATAAGATAATCATCAGAGAGACGAGTACCTATATAAACGATGTGTCTCTTTAGTCTCAATGGACAAGAATTCTGTGCAAACTGATCCAAAGCTAGCTTTGCTCAAATTGTTAAAATTCAGAATATAACCAGAAGTTATATCAAATAAATGCATAATCTGTGGGCCCCTTGTTAGGTCACCAGGAACAAGCCTAAACCTACACATACTCTGTTTTTATGAAAGGCAAAACATCAGTGGGAAAGTACAGCAGGCTGTCTGCCGTTCAGGTTTCTCAGTGGCTCGTAAACCAAGTGTGTATGTGGAACTCTGACACTTTAATGTGAAGTTTAATGTGCATCAACAAGCCGAGACTCATTCTTCTGAATCAGCATGGATCTTGCGCATTCCCCACCCTGTGTAAAAAGCATGCACTCGAAGCCTGCGTGGGGATTGACTGGATTTTGGTAGCTTGATTCCATCTGACTGAGGAGTCTCTAAGCAGTGCTTCCCAAACTAAACTTCTCAAAGATTTTAAGACCTCAACGGACTTGTAAGGATGCACTGAAATCATGAAAATGTGTTTATTTTTTAAGTGACGGAACAATGCATGCCAGGTTGTTTTCCTAAAACTGAAATTGTGCAGTAAATGAGGTACTATTGAAAAAGAAAAACCTCCTAAGCTGGGATTTCTGAAGGGATATCTTGCTGAAAATTCGGTTTGTGCGTCCACTTCTCTGTGTGTCTGAAAATATAAACCTGTGTCACAATAAGTACCTTCTTTTCAGGGATGTGGAATTCCTATCTGTGGCCTATAGGCACTTGCTGACTCACCATGAAGAAATTCTACCTGCTGCAGCGCCCACCAGCTCCACTGAGATGTCCCTGGGAGGAATGATACACGGATGACAGTCTGAACCAGGCCAAGACGTCCTCGCACGCAGTTAAAAAGAAACTCGAATTAGTTTATACACACACAAAAAAAGAACTGTGCACACGCCCACTCCTACTCACTCATCACAATGCTGATGCCAGGACCACTGTGGGTGTGCCTGGCACTGATGTGGGTGGGAAGCTGTCATGCCCACAGCCTGTTTACGTGTGAGCCTATCAGAGTGCATCGGTGCTTGGAGACGTCCTACAACATGACCTTCTTCCCCAACATGATGGGCCACTATGATCAGGATATCGCATACAACCGCATGCAGGTGAGCCCTCGTAACATTACACAACATTTATCTGTAGAAATCTGTATGCCTATGCATCGTGCAAGCATACAGTGATTCATTTTTATTTAAAGGTCCAGTGTTTTATAGATTAGGCGGGCCAAGCAAGCTAAGCATGTGAACAATTGTCAAAAATGATTCAACCCCACAGAACTTATTTTAAATTCTAGTAGAATTTATGTAAAATTAGGCTGAATTTGTTCAAAGTGTATATTGGGCTAATGCAGAGTTTATTGACTTATCCAGGCAGCCTCTGGCCCACCTCAAAGGTTCTCATCAGTCTTGGTTTCCATGGAACGTTGAAAAAACGCTTCCTCTCCTTATAATTGGAAATTATACTTCAGGCCACATTCAGCGATGATGAATATCATGTCCATATAATTGTCATTATTAGTGCCATCAGCGCTGTTTGTGGCTCCGGTTACTAATTGACGGTGTCTCTCAGCCCATACTGAAGCACATATTGATTGAAATATAATTACCATTTTGTAATGGACTTCAACTGACACACAGTATTTACCAGCCACAGTTTGTCCACAAATCACATCTGATTGTTAAAAGAAATAGCGAGTGATTAAACTGTGAATCTGTCCACTTAAATTCTAAAGGGAGGCTTTTAAGAAACCTTTGCGGTAGAAGAAGGCTCTGCTTAGGGTTCCTCTTACAAGTAAAAGAAGTTAAGAAAGAAGAACATTCTTAGTTATAACAAAAATGTGTCACAAGCTTTAATCACTGACTAAGTCCAAAACCAAAGTCCAAAAATCACAAAAACAAGAGGCCAGATGGGGAGCAAAACAGGTGCATCCACAGTCATTTCACAGAATTGTGCACAGAACTAAGCAGAGAAAACAACAAAGAGAAGGCCAGGACGATTTTTATTCTGGAGGCTGATTAAGGAATATCAGACAGGAGGGAGACGAGACACAGGTGTAAGTAATTACACACAGCTGAGCACAACCTGGAGGAGACCGTCAGGAAGCAACACACAGGACGTGAAGAAAATAAACTGTCAAAGCTAAAGAGGAAATAACCAAAGCAGACTTAAAGTTCTACAAGAGAAGAAAACACAAACCACAAATACAGAAATGAGACAAAGAAAAACACAGGGAAGAACATTATTACAACTACAAATACACAAGGCGTGAACCAGAATTTAAGCTATACAAAATGGAGCTTATCACTATAATAAGTATCTATAATAGAACAGCAACATAATAGGACAACAATGAAGCTAAATAGGGATTAAACACTCAATATCACCAGAGCTAAGATTCACAGTTTACTTTACAGGAAATCAGCTCAGACTCACCCTAACAATAATCGAAAGCCTGCAGCAGCGACACCAAACAGAAAGTACTTAATTAATAACAAGTAGAAATCCAAAAAACTCCATTCTCCCTGGCAGCCATAAGATTTCCACTGGGCTTTGCTAAAGAGGCAAAAATGCAATAGAAATGGAAGGATGTGAAATAGCCATCAACACACAGTAAACGTGGAGCGGTATTTATCAGAAAATCCATGGCTCTCAGCCGATCAGTGGAGCCAACAGCTAATTCTGCACGCTAAGCTGAGAGGCAGCTTTCTTTTTTAGGGTAATCAACATTTTTCAGCTCATTACTTTTGCAATTTGTGGGTTTCTTGTTGATCTTCTGATAAGTCAAATCAGTTTAGGGTTTTTTTCTTCATTTGCACGCACTCATGCGATTGCATGTAAGTATAGGTGGCTATGGGGTGCATTTGGTCTTGGTATTGACTGTTATTGCGTGACTACTTTTCCATCCAATTAGTGGGTGATGTTCTGACTAACACCTGGATGACTGATGAATGGTTGAAATGAGGCATGTAATCCGAATCCAAGCTAAGTTAATTTATCCTTATGTAAGTAACGCCTTTATCGGTTTTGGAACATTATTATCGGCATTTTTCAGGTATGTTTAAAATACCATATGCAAACATGTTATCAGGGTTTTTGAACTTTCAAAAGTCAATATCCAGATTGGCTCAAAATATCCAGTGGTAATTCAGTGTATACCCATATGGAAAAGAAATAGTAAAAACTTATATGTGATTACTCATGAAAGTGGCCACTTTCT